AGCTTGAAAATTCCACTCAACTATGTAATTTTTGTTAGTCTTGTTTAAGGTAAAGGCTTTTCCATTTAAAAATAAAGATAAAAGCCATATTTTCCACGTGAAGTCAACTTTTACTTTATGTAGCGCGGCGCCATGTTTGTTTTGTTTGAAGCAATCTGACCGTTACTTATTTAAACCATGTTTAAACTGATTGGTTGATTTTATCATCACAATGTTTTTCCACCAATCAAATCAGTTTGTTACAGATTTTTGCACTGTGATTACAGAAAATTGCACTGTGATTACAAAAAATTGCACTGCTGTTTGGGATTAAGTGCACTGAAATCAACCAATCACAGTCGAGTAATATTTTTATGTATATTATTACAACAAGAAATAGGAAACCCAGGTATTAACCGAGATATTTATGTATCATGTCAATCCTAGGTACCAGATGCAATCCAAAGTGTGCAACGTGCTGGTGTTACTGTGCGTATGGTTACTGGTGATAACGTCGCCACGGCTCGCTCCATTGCAATAAAATGCGGAATTTTGAATAACAACGAGGAATTCTTAGTCTTGGAGGGAAAACAGTTTAATAAGAAGATACGTGATAAAGACACAGGAAAGGTGAGCAATGATAGAGAGAATAATATTAACATTACAGTAGATGGCAAAGTCGTGATAGTGTTATAAATTATATAAGGTATGTACCCATAAGATTCATTACTATCCCCAAAATTAGTTCTGCTATGGGTTAGGCTTTGGATAAGATTAGGAATTAGCCTTTCGCACTCCGCCATTTTTGGGATACTGCCTTTTCCAAATCTGAGATTGTACGCAGTGAATAAGGGGGTTGTAAACTATAACTACTGTATCGCATGCAACCTGCTTCCAACTCGAGTTGTACTACATAAATGAACCACACAACTCGTCTACGTTGTCATAAGTGAGTTGTGTGCTTGATTTACACAGTATGCAACTTTGAATAAATCGACCTTAAGCAAATGAACTGGATGTCTCTCCGTCTAAAGCAGTTTTCATACGCCCCTGGTCTGTGGTCATATCTCATTGGTCTAAGTTGAGGGGTTGAAATTTTAATATCTTTTTAGTCGCCCAAGTGGTTGGCAGTGAATAAGGTCTGGTCGTCAAATATAGTCAATGTGTTATGAAGTATTCCATCTGTATATAGATTTAGTATAATTACATAGGTGATTATTGAAAATGCTCCACGCTGATTGGTTGCCGTTGAGGTGATTATTACGCGATAATCACCTAAGCGATTTTCAAAATGGCGGCCGAAGCCTTTTTGCCAATTAAATGACAAAGAAATGTGTATTTTCTTATTTTTTTCCAAATAATCACCTATGAAATTATACTAAAACAATTATTCACCTCAGGCTCGGTGATTATCGTGAATAAAAACCTCGACTTCGTCTCGGTTTTTATTCACCGATAATCACCGAGCCTGAGGTGAATAATTGTTAAATAACATAAAAAAATGTTGTTTAATATGCTGGAAATTATATAACCAAAAGCAGAATGAAATACTTGAGATACTGATATGTTTTAAACATTTTTCAGTCGCCGCGACGGCTGCTTTTGGTAAATGTCTGGTCGCTAGATGAAAAAGTTGATCGCATTTGGCGTACGGCATTTCAACCCCTGCCTAAGTTATGTTCTCATTTGATATCACAAACATTCTGTGTGATAATTCACTATCAGGCATGCAATATGATATGCAAAAACATATATGGTATTACCGTATTTCATGTAAGGATCACTTGCTATATGATTGCTAGGTAAATCAAGCTAAACTAGATGAAATCTGGCCCAAGCTGAGAGTCTTAGCTCGCTCATCACCAGAAGATAAATATATATTAGTGAAAGGAATCATTGACAGCAAGCTGAGCAAGAATCGTGAGATTGTTGCAGTCACTGGGGATGGAACGAATGATGCTCCTGCGTTGAAAATGGCTGATGTGGGATTTGCTATGGTAAGAAGTGATAGATATAATGTGTAATAATTAAGATACGTTTACATGCTGCGATTTGTCATCTACGATGCGTATTCTGGGATCGGTTGGATGACCTTGGTCTTTGTAAAATACATGAAAAGCTGGAAAACTACGGATATGAACAGTATAGTACGTTCAGTATAAAAGACCTTTAACTTATAAATATTGCACTTTAATCTGAGCTATATACCAATCAACGCCTGATTTAACGAAGCTTGAAAAATAGCGCCATCCAGCCTTCGTACAACCAATCCCTGGTGTATGTAATCGAATACCGGTCAAACGCAAAGCGCATGCCCGAGTATGCGGAAATGGCGGAGCAAATATCTGCCAAAATAATAGGAATAAATACGGGAAAAGAAAAACGTTTACTATAAGGAAACAGCCCAAGCTATAAGGTAGGGAATTTCACCGCTTTTTCCTTGTGTCAAGACGAAGTTAACTGAGTTTAAACACTCATAGTTTTCTTTCAACGTTTTGCTAGAGCTTCGTGAAGACAACACCATTTCCAGTCTTTCAAACAGAAGCAGAAAATACGCGCGGACGTTTGACTGCGGTGTTCACGTAAAGAGGTGGTATTTCAAATTTCGCTTTAAAGTAACTGAAGAGTGCATGGCGTCAGTTGTCAGTAGTAACTTTCATACGCCAGGATACGAAGCGTACATGACAAATCACAGCATATGAACGTACCGTTACTCGTCTTAAAGCAGTGCAATTGTTTTTGTAATTCCACTGCAGTGAGACAAGAAGAATGAACATGGCGGGAAATGCCTGCCGATATTGGGAATGTGAACTTCCAATTGAAACATCTGCGTGAATAAAATAATTTAAATACAATTAGCATTTAAACTGAAAAGATTGCTGACAAGCACTGAAAAATACATAATTGGCAAAGCTGAAATGACAGGAGTTGTAGGATCTAATTTTTTCATACAGTGTTTGTAACTAATAAGTAACAGCATGGTTTCACGTATAATTTGGCGACGGGGTGGTCTGCTTTTGACTTGGAAAAATAATTTGTTTATCTATATGACATAGCCAAGAACAATGTATTGTGTGTCGAGGTTGGGATTTAGGTGCTCATTTTCAGTCAATAAAGAGTAAGCCAACAAAAAATACACGAGAAACAGTCAGTGGTATGATTTGTCATTATTGTCGCTCGTCTTCACTGAGTTTGTTAAATACGATCCACCTAAACCATCAATGAATGAGCCAAATAAAATCGTGCGCCCGGCTTTAAGCAGGCATTCTGTTTGGCTCATTTCATTATATTTCTGAATATTTCAGGGCATTGCTGGAACAGATGTAGCAAAAGAAGCGTCAGATATTATTTTGACAGATGATAACTTCTCGAGTATTGTGAAAGCTGTGAAGTGGGGACGTAATGTTTATGACAGTATTTCAAAGTTCCTTCAATTTCAACTCACAGTCAACTTGGTTGCTATTTTTATTGCTGTGATTGGTGCCTTGGTACACTCGGTGAGTTTTCTCTCTGTTATGGTATGGTACTTCTTTTGTCTTGGCATGAAACATGATTGGACTGATAGGACAAGGGAATGTTTGAGTCAGTTGGTAGTGTTTGTTAGGCAATTCAGTGTGCTGATTGTTTTAACTCGTGGTTTCAAGTTGCTGAATGAATAACCTTTAGAAAACTGTACTTTAGGTTATATATTTCATTTTAAAAGCCAAGTGCAACTTAAATTTGAACCATTTCAAATAACATGGCCAATAACCATTAAAGTACCATTCATTATCACACCCTGCGCATGTTTTATGAGAAAAGCTACCAGCACATGAAATTGATGAATCAAATGCAAACTGTGAACCTATGTAGAGAGTACGCATGAGTGTTCAAATATCTTCCCTGTCAAAATTTAGTTGACTGTAGTAACCTGTTTGTTCACGCTGATTGCAAGATTTGTGGCATATTGTTTCTGGTAATGTGTCTAAAGGCCACACTATCGCGTATCCTACTATAATGCCAGCGCATGAAAAATATCACTCGTACGCTGGAAAACGCTGACATACAGTACGCTAGGGGTATGTTAGGCATAGGTTGTATACGTTTCAAGCATGGTCGCATACGCCGGCATACGGCGAGGCAGAAACGTTTTTTAAATTTTGTGCGCATTCGGATGTATGCCGGTGTATACGATATGGTTGATACCCTATGAACACACGCTGAATACGCTAGGAGTTTATTTAAATGAAGACCTAAATTGGAATACTCACATAAACTACATATTCAAAAAGGCTTGTAAAAGACTCTATATTCGTTGCGAATTTTGCGAAGAGCTGGCGTTGCGTCATTTCATTGAGTATCTTAAAGGTTTATATAACTAAGGTTGGCTATCTTTAAAACAGGGAACGGGGAATCCGGGAATCGGGAATGGCAGCGGGAATATCAAAATGTTAAGTTGTCACGACAGAACAGCGTTTATTTTAACGTGCAGTTCCACACAAAATGTGCAGTTCTAAACCCATTTGTGCAGTTCTTAAAACACAAATGTGCAGTCATCACACTAACAAAAATAGCCTTAATTAAAACAGTCTTCTCATTTACTCGTTACCCTTGTGGATGCTCCAGAAAATTCCAGAAATGCTGTTATTATTAATTGAGCATCAAAAATATAAACGTTTTCTGGGGGAGGACTCCAGACCCCCTATTTTATACCCACTTCCCAAACAACGCCCTCTTCGGTAGTGGCGACTTCTGATACGCTCGCCCAGGGACGTAGCGACTGGAGGGGGGGGGGGGTAAATCCCCCCAACTGTGAAACTCAGGTAAAAATCAGGTAAAATTTATAGTTTATATCCTGCGTGAAGTTTACATTAAATGCCCGTTTAAAAGTATTAAACTGGGTTTTTTTCACGACTTCGTGTCCTGCAATTTTGGTGTGACATCAAACTTTCGATTAAGCTTCATTTTCTTTTATTGCATAAATTGTAAATTGAATAAAATTTTTATTTAAATTTTTATAAAATTTTTATCGGATTCCCCGATTCCCCGTTCCCTGTTTTAAAGATAGCCAACTAAGGTTTATATAACTTGGAGTTATCAAAATAACATCAACTTTAATGCGTCAAAGTGCAAAGTTCTGTCCAGGACACGCAAGGTCAATCCATTGCATTTTCAATACCACATGGATTCTACCAAGTTACTTGAGTATGGGGTGGAACATTATTCGCGTAGACCGCGCGAGACAACACGCATGACAAAAACATGGCCGACAAAATATAAATAGTATTGATGAGTGATGAATAATCAAATTTTAAACGTAAAACCTGGGGCTTTTTCAAAATTTTGAAGCAAATTTTGAAAAATATTGTCATTAATATTCCAAACGATATGTGATTCGAAAGAAAATCGACGAATACTTGCGTTAATCCGAAAATAAAACATCGTATTCACGAAGGTATGTGTCAAGGTTTTAATTCTCAACTTGGAGGCTTTTAATTTTCGGTATAATATATCATTTATAGACCCTCCGCTCGGGGGATTCGGTGAAATATTACCCTCAGTGATGATATTTCCCTCGGGGCAAAGCCCCTCGGGAAATATCATCACTTCGGGTAATATTTCGCCGAATCCCCCGAGCGGAGGGTCTATAAATGATAAAAATTAATGTGCATTAAGTAAATATGTTATACAGGGTGCCCCAAAGGGGGACCAAAGCTGTTGAGATGGCGTGTTGTTGGTGCTGAGGCGTTCGGATTCTAGCAGTGCGTTGTTTCAGTGGTTTGGGGTTTTTTTGGGACACCCTGTACAGTATACTGTGAATTAAAATGTCTATGTTAGGAAGAGGAGGGGCGCCATGCAATGGACTTTACGTCCAGTTTGTACCTTGTCCGTTTGAGTACAGCTCTTTTAATTGTATGTTTAGATGAATATTTGTTGAATTAATTTATACTCAATAAAGTTTAACAAACTAAAACTATTATTCGACCGGTCTTGGAGTATGCTGTCCCTGTATGACAATCAATACCAGGTATTCTGTCTGATAAACTTGAAACAATACAGAAAAGAGCCCTGAAAATAATTTTCCCATCTGCTGAAACATACCTAGAAGCTCTACAGTTACTGGGATTGACAATCTAGCCGATAGGAGAATCATCATATGTAAAAAATACATGAGTAAAATGAAAAGAACAAATCATCCCCTACATGCGTTATTACCCAAAAGCACGGACAAAAACTGTAATTATGAGCTTAGAGACAAAACCGAAGAAGTTTTCATGTATCAAGATTTTAAGTTCTGTAGAACTAAAAAGACAGAAAACTTTTTTACCTTCAAATATTATTAACATTTTAATACACCTTTTTGAAGCCTGTTTTCACTATTTTTATTGCAAACATAAAGTTAGATTTTATATAGATTATTTGGATAAAATTGTACTAGTTTTTTTTACATTATATCATATAATTATACTATAATATTGTAAATATATAAACTCTGTAATTCAGTTTTTGTAACTGCGAAAGAGTTTCAATAAACCAGAATTATTATTATTATAGAGGTACGCCAGATGTACGGTACTCGTACGCTGGCTATTTCAAAGGATTTTTGTGTGTATGAAAATTGTTTCAATTTTCATACGCTTCTCATACGTTTCTCTCATGCGCAATAGTGTGACAGGGCCTTGAGCAATTCAAGGCTCGGTGTCATACCAGCTACAACAACACGTGATTCTGAAACTTGTGATAAGGTGGTTACCCGTTTTTGTTTTTTTTCTAGGAAAGTCCTCTAAGTGCAACACAACTATTGTGGGTGAATCTTATTATGGATTCTTTCGCATCCTTGGCATTAGCCACAGAACCTCCGACTGATGATCTGCTTACTCGTAAACCGTATGGCAGAACCAAACCTCTCATATCCCGTACCATGGCGAAGAATATCTTACTACATAGTCTCTATCAAATCATAGTATTGCTGGTGTTAATGGAAGCTGGTCCTGAACTATTTGATATTTCTTCTGGTTTTAAACAACATGGTAAACCATCAGTTCATCTCACGATCATGTTTAATACCTTTGTCTTTATGCAACTGTTCAACGAGATCAATGCAAGAAAAGTACATGGCCAACGAAATGTATTCTCAGGAATATTTGATAACTATATCTTTGTTGTTATCTGGATTGGAACTGTTGTTGTTCAAGTATGTACATTTTTCAATAGAGAACTAGAAATAGATTAATGCAAGCCGCTTGCGCGACAAGAACTGTCCAACTTAATATAACCCATTGAACCATTTCTAACGAACCATTATAAGTAGCCTTGCATGTGTTACTGACTACAAGCACGTGCCACCTTCATTCTCAATTTCTGCAGGTTGTGAAATAACATATAAGCGTTCTTATTTCAATTGGTATTTCATGCAAAGCAATTTTATTCTTTCAGATTATCCTGGTTGAGTTATCTGGTTACGCTTTTCGTTGTGAAGGTTTGAACGCTCAACAGTGGATGTGGTGTCTATTCCTTGGTTTTACGGAACTTCTTATTGGTCAGGTTGTAGCAACAATCCCGAAAGCAATCTTTTCCAAAGATCTTTGTAGAATTGGTCGTGGAAGTATACCGCAAACTAGTAATGCTCGTTTATTGTGGATACGTAGTGTGACCAGACTCCGGCATCAGGTCAGTCAGTTATTATATTGAACAGTCTGTGTAGATAATGGGGAGCTAAAGGACGACGTCAACACGGACGTCAGATTACCGAGGAGGGACTGGATTAAAAACTGGGATTGTATCAGTTTGTGGTAATCTTCAACACATGACAAAACATAAGAAGTTGATGCAAAATGCCGCAAAAATTAGTTCTACCAATTTTTGGGTAACGTCCGAAAACGTCGCTTGTTGAAATTGTGCAAATAGTAAGAAAGTTGCGGAGACATACAACCACCTGAAAAATATTTGCATAAGCAAGTCCTTCGTCATTCAATACAGGCTACTAACATCCCGACATCCTGACAGTCTAAATATTTGCGTAAGCAAGTCCTTCGTCTTTCAGTACAGGCTACTAACATCCCGACAGTCTAAATATTTGCATAAGCAAGTCCTTCGTCATTCAATACAGGCTACTAACATCCCGACATCCCGACAGTCTAAATATTTGCATAAGCAAGTCCTTCGTCATTCAATACAGGCTACTAACATCCCGGCCTTCGAAGTTCTCTTTTCAGGTAGTTGTATTAATCCGTAACTTTCTTATAGAGTGCTATCATACATACACACAATAAATCTCTGTACTGTTATATTGTACAATTCTTGACTTAGGAGAAATAGATAACTTCCTACACTACATTTCTGCACAATTTCACGTTCATATAGTGTACAGTGAACCTTGCCAGTTTAATACACTAAGCACAATATTGATGAGAGAGGGGAGTGATATTTTTGTTATTGCGGGGAAAGTCCAATCCAGGTTTTACGTCGGGATTTGCATTTTTAACAGCAACAAAATTTCAGCCCAAACTGAAAAAGAAAAGAACAATTTCTAACATAAGAACGTTGAATGAAATATATGAAATGTTCACAGACTTGCACGTGGTTGAATGTGGCGTCTTGGCAGGGTTTAAAAATAGCTGCCGGAATTTTCACAACACTACCCGTTGATTTTACATTAGAAACGGCGAGTTTTTTTCGATAATCCATTGATCTATACGATGAATTTATAGATTTTTGGTTAAAAAAGATTCTGTCTTGAGATAACGGATCGCATTAAGCATTTTTTTTTATTTTTGCGAGCGATGGACCAGGCGGAAGTCGCAATCGTATGTTGATCAAATGAAACAGACTTTGATTTGAAAAAACTCGATCTCTGTCCTTGAGGGTATTTTCCGCATAGTCGTGATGATTTGAATGATATGATGAAATTCGGCAACTACCAAAAATACAACATGTAACACCAGGGAATACGCCACGGGTTACCCCAATTACGGCGACCTCTTAATGGACCTTTCCCCTTATAACTAAAATTTCGATCTAGACAAAAATTTCATCACAGCTTGAAAGAGCATCACAAAATTAGTACTATTCCAAAGTTTTGTTGCAAAATCTTGTAAAATGCGGATAATATAGCCTTGCGAAGTTCGCCGTTTTTCAGTCATTTTGTATTACAAACGGGAAATTGACATACGATTCGGGTGTTGGGGCTGCAATTTTCCGTTTGTAATGCAAAATGACTGAAAATTGCAAACTTCGCAAGGCTGTATTTTCCTCATTTTATAACATTTCGCAACGAAACTTTGGAATATTACTAATTTTGTGATGCTGTTTCAAGCTGTGATGAAATATTTGTCTAGACTTGCCTAGATCAAAATTTTGGTTATAAGGGGAAAGGTCTATTACATAATTACATTAGCATCAATCTAGACAGTTTAACAAACTTGCAAAATCACATCAGACAACTAACAACATCCTAAAACACCATCCAGGGACCTGGCCCTTCTACATTTATAATAACTCTTTAGTCTCATATTTGTTATACTCCTGTTTGACGTATCGCAACCTAAAATGTCGCTGGTATTTACATGAAACTGAAAGTTATCTATATTGGAATGTCTCTTTTTAAAATTTTATTAGTTAGTAGATGATGTGCAAATAGATATGCACAGTGTGGATTATAACTGTTGGCAATTGGCTATTTGCCGAACAAAAACACTAAATGGCCGATTAATCATATTTTGCACCGACATTTTGACCGAGCAAATAAAATAGACAGTTTTCACTTCATTGAAAGGTATATTATTTGACTAGTACAGTACTGTTCATAAAGCATAAAAGCGAGAGAAGGAACATAAAATATTTTCTTGGCTTTGCTGTGACAAGCAACAAAATCACATCACAAGTTTATGGTACTAGACAATATGCAGAAAATTCCCGAAAACACAACGTGCAATGGATCGTTGGGACTGCATGCCAGAAATTAAGAAATGTGATTGATGATGCGAGAAGTGATCAGCACGAGCTATCAAATTTACAGCAATTGATAGCTTGTCAATTGAATGTAAATTTTGAAAAGCTGGCCAATCATTATTAGCCAATGTCCGAGCAACTGCACAGTTGATCGGACATTTGTCAGACCGAAGCGAAATTGTTATAATCCACACTGGATATGCATTATATAATATAAATAGATATAAATTAGTAAGTAACTGCTACTAAATGTGTCAATAGACATTACCATATACCGTGATCTATCTTTTGTTCGTGTAGATCCGTGTTGTCAACGCATTCCGAAGCAGTGTGGATAATCAAAGTCAAAGAGCTCTGACGTCACCTGTAGTATTTAATTCTCTCTTGGCCCCAGTCCGTACCGTCATGGTCCCGGCCAATAACTCCAGGCTTGATAGTGTTTCGGAGGACGATGAAAGTGGTAAAACAGGAAATATGGAAACTGCGAAAACAGAAAAGATGGAAACTGCTATGTAACGGACTTAAAGATTAACAAATTTATCAAGAAACTTTTATGTTACACTGATGTTTATTTTTAAACAAAATTTCTGCCAAACTACTTATTTTATCCTTCAGTAATACACTAACTCGTCAGAATCTAAACGTAGCATGTATTCTATCAGGTTTGCTGCATCTTTAACATTTATTTGATGCTCAATTGTTTATCAATTAAAAAAGTATTTAACATAGATCCTAGCCAAAGACCGTCCTTGCGTCCCCAAATTATATCAGCTACGTGAGCCCACAGTTAGCATGTTAGGACCTTAACGATTCTCGCGTCGCTTAAACTAACAGTGATAACGTTTGATGTACTCTGAATAACTTCTGTTACAGTTGCCATGGAAACTGGTTGTTGCACTAAATTTTGATTCTTATGTTTTACGCATGAACATACATTGATCAGAGTGAAGTACGTAGAAATTCTGCATAGAACACATTTAACAAATATCACTCTGCCACTGTTATGAAGTTTTCTTGATTTTGTGAACGACTAAGAAATAAAATGTTATATATTTAGGTTTTCCTAATTGGGATTTATTTTTCTGTCATGTTGTGGGTAGGTTTAGATTATCATTGAAAGTTAAATTGTATATTTAGTAGATAACTGACATGAACTCAGTCGACACATCCTCTTGAGCATGTACTTGAATTGAACTCGAAATTGTTTTTGTTTCGAGTTTAAAAGCTCTTGAGCATGTACTTGAATTAAACTCGACATTGTTTTTGTTTCGAGTTTAAAAGAATAGCAACACTTTTCAACCAAACACAATTCTGTATTGCAAGATTCTTAGTTGTTGTAAGATTTTAGTGATTATTATAAACTTAATGTAAGATGATTTGGTATTAATAAATTATGTACACTGAGATATTTGCCTCCACTTCAGACAATAATAGCGAGCTTAAGCATGTAGGACGGCAATACGACGACGACGGCCAAAACAAATTCTTTCAAATAAATGATAGTAAAGAAAACTTGTCGTATATTATAATTCGTATGAAATTAATACAGTATAAGAAGTTGAAAACATTGGCTTTATGTTTGGGAAGAGTTCTACTGACCGAATTTTAAGTTGCACTTGTTACAGCTTGAAATGCAGGCGTTCTGTGATTTGCTGTTGTAAACTGAGCGACGACCACGTCTGAAACTCCCCCGGGCTTTAATTGTTTATTTATTTTCATTGACTCATTGTATTGGTTGCCGTCCTCGTCGTGTTGCCGTCCTACATGCTCCGTAATGTCTTAAACCACACATAATGAAAATGCTAATTAGTTTAAAACACTGGTGATGGTCAACCGTGCGCATGTGCACAAAACCTGTTTATACAGCTATTCCAATTGAACCTTGTCATAGTCAATCATACATTCCAAACGCAAACAGCAAGTTTGGTATACAGTATACCTATTTTAATATTTTTAGCTGTTTAGGTAGCTCACGACAATAGCTCCTTCGTGTTTTGCCAATTCCCAGTGGTATACTTGCCAACCTCGCAAGCCAGGGTCTTCTACCTGGTTGTATACTTACATGCATAACGCTCTGGATGTACATGGAACTTATTATCGGTCACAACAAGTGTAGAAAGTTACAGATCAGCGACAAACGGTCGAAGTTTGTAAGTAAAAGCTGTCCTATTAGTTCTGTCAAGAAAACAGTCTAAGAACTACGCATACGAGTGTTTTGTTACAGTTTTGCTACATCAAACGATTGATTTAATGGACTGTAGTTATAAGTGCTCACAACTTGCTAATCGCACGAGGAGATTTATAATACATATTTCACTCTATATAGTATCGCATTCCCATTACACTCTTCGCGCCTAGATTGTACATTTGGCTATTGCTTGAGACAATCATTCGTGTAGTTGTTAGTAAGCATGTATTGTGGACGTATTTGTCAAACGTATACGTTGACACACACAGTTAAAAATGACCAGAAACAGAAAATGTTTACGCCTTAAATACGACCGTAAGGTCGCATTCGACAAAGACAGGTTGTTGGCATTGTTCGAAACAGTCCTCGTGGTGCGCCTTCATTGAACAGGAGAAGTTGCGTTTGAAATTGTGAGAGTGTGACTTGTTAAAGTAAAGATCTTGAACGTCTTCATTGATCAGATGAGTGCCCGAGGACGAGTGAAAATAAAAGCAACAGAAAACAAATTCAAAACAAGACAAAAAACAGTCGGAGCTTCAACACATTAAAAGTGAGAAAATAAACATTAAAGTTCTAAACGATTTTGATCATAGGAAGTACAACTTGCTCAGTATTTTTTAGTTTGCATATTTCGCGCGATTTTGAATGTTGCTTGGCAACCAACTCAACAGAATTGCCTGTAGCGGCAGTAGCGCAAGTTTAAAAGTCAACCTAATTGTCGGGTTAATGATGGCGATATTCACTTTTTCAATTCGATACGCCGCTCCGATATAGATATTTCTGCGCTATGCAGATATAACAACTGGAAATAACGTAAGTTACGTTAGGGGGAAGGGGCAGCAGGGCCAACTGCATTCTCGTACTCAGAGTCCTTACCCGAGGGGCTCTGGCCAAACCATATCAAACTGGATCTGATTGGCCATAGTTCCAATACCGGATATTGTTCTCTTACCATGTTTTTATGGTATCCGGTTATGGATTTGGACAGAGCCCCTCGTCGCGCTCGGTCGAACGCGCGTAAGAAGGGCTCTGGGTACGAGAATGGGCCAATTGTTACAACCTCGTACCCAGGCTCTTTCCTCTACGCTCCTCGCTGTAGGGAAAGGTCCTGGTCGGTGTGGTCATGTGTCTCCCAGATTTTTGGAGACAACAAAGATTTTACATTAGGCTCGGTCCCAGCCGTTCCCTCCATAAGGGACTGGTCATAATTTATCAGGGGGGTGGGGAGGTGTAATTCAAAATATTAAGGAATGATATTTTGTGACCCTGCTTTGCCATAACCCAGAAAAAATAATGCCCCCCCCCCTCTCTTGCTCGTGTCAGTATACCCCTCTCTTGCTTGTGTCAGTAAAAATGTACCTACCTACTACTAAACCCTGCATTCTATAAATATTCTAATTGCACTTTAAATTTTCTAATTTTCCAGTTGCGCTTTAAATAAAATACTAAAATTTATATTATAGCAATACATAATCATATATAAAACTTTAGTTTTTTCAAACTTTTCATTCTGAGTTTAAAGAATCAATTTTTTTCAATGCATCTCAAACAAAATGTGAGAAAGCATGTATAAAACAATTAATTGAACTAAAACAGCAGACCCCCTCCCCGCCTTCATAAACTGTCCAATATTTTATGAACCCCCCTTTTTCCTGGCTAAAAAATATGTGACCCCCCCCTCACTGTTTCCACCTCTCCATCCCTCCTGCTAAATTATGACCAGTCCCAAATGATCTTTCTGGGCTTGCCAATGATTTTAGTAAGTTTTTGAGAAAATTGATAATATTCGCTCTAAACAGGGCCGTAACTAGACGCGATAATTGGGGGGGGGGGGGGATATTCATATAATCATGTTCACATACCGTAAAAACAATCGCTTTCAAAAGAAATCGGTCGGGCAGAACACGAGTATATGAATATTCACCCCCTGGCTCTAAACTCGACAACTTTGAATTAGATTCTCCATCAATGCCTGAGGGGGAGCCAGTATATACTGGATCATTATTTACTGACTTCCAACGTACATCACCCAAGAAAATTAAAGAGACAGTACTAATTTTTCCAAATAAGTCTTGCGCCTAGTGATACCATACCTACCGATATGGTTAAAGACTGCATAGATGATCTGTTGCCAGCTATCTGTAACATGGTGAATTCTTCCCTTGTGGATGGTTATTTCCACGACATCTGAAAAGAAGCATTAGTGAAACCTAAGCTTAAAAAATCGAACATGGACTTAAAGTCCATGAGCAACTTTGCGTTTCTATCCAAGATGACTGAAAGAATTGCTGCTAAGCAAATGTGCGGTCACCTATCCATCAATAATTTGTTTCCTGAATTTCAGTCAGCTTCATTCTCATAAACATACAACATGTTACTCTGTCTTACTCTGTTGGTGTTCTTAGACCTCAGCGCTGCATTTGATAAAATATAACATTGGGATTTTGTAATAATGCACTTGCTTGGTTTCGATCATCAAGTCCGTAGCTAGAACGATAATGGGGGTGTATATTCATATATTCGTGTTCTGCTCGACGGATTTCTTTTGAAATCGATTGTTTTTACGGAATGTAAACATGAATATATGAATATACACCCCCCCCCCAATTATCGTGTCTAGCTATGGCCCTGTCAATCATTCTAGCGAACAGATCCCATCGTGTAGTCATAGAAAATGTAATGTCGGACAGTTTTGATATAAAGTATGGTGTGCCTCAAGGGTCTTGGTTAGGCCCATTGTTGTTTATCCTGTAGTCAATGACAATTATTATCCTGACAATCCACCATTATTTGTCCACCGCGCATTGCGTTGCCGATAACACGTACAGACACGGAGTTATATCTCGCATTTAACCCAAGTAGCGATGCTGCTCAGGATGCTGCCATCATAGCCATGGAGAATTGCCTGCGAGACATCCGGAATTGGATGATTACTGACAGGTTAATGATAAATGATGAAAAAACGGAATTTATGTTAATTGGAGCAAAAGTTCAGCTCGCCAAAGTCAAGAACATATATTTCTCTAACTATTGGTGAATTTGTGATTTCACCATTTGAAGAACCTATCAGAAACTTTGGCGCCTGGTTTGACCTACTTTCACCTTAAATCACCATATCAATAAGACCTGTAGAAGTGCTTTTTATCATCTGCATAATATAAGAAGGATTCGCAAGTATTTAAGCAGAGAATCAATCAAGCAGAGAATCAATCAAGCAGAGAATCGTCAATCACCTAGACTATTGCAATGGACTGTTATATGGACTGCCCAACAATGCTATTGCCAAATTACAACGTGTTCAGAATGCTGCCGCAAGGATTCTTTACTGTGCACATCGGTTTAGCCATATTACTCCGCTGTTGTACGAGTTACACTGGTTGCCAGTCAAATATCGTATTGAATATAGGATAATTACACTTACGTTTGAGGCAATTCATGGAACTCAGGTAGATTAATGCATGGGTCAAGTTTCAGCCAAGGTCGAAATATGGGTATACCAAGTTGGGTGCGACTTTTAAAAGGAAAACAAGGTTAGGTTTAACCTGTCATGGTTTAATGTTATAGATTTTGACCTGGTGAATTTTTTACCGATTTTTATTTTATTATTCTTCTTCATTATTTACGACCAGCGGGAGTCCGCATTGTCGATTATAATTAGTTGCGCAAGCCATGATTTCATGTTTATATTGTACACAAACATCGTCTTGATTATTTCTTATTAATAAAATATAAAACTACAACTTTATAATATGAAATACAACATGAAATTGTTTATTGTTATTGACTTGCGTCTTGCGCAACTAATTATAATCGACAATGCGGACTCCCGCTGGTCGTAAATAATACGGCTTAATGGCGATAGCTTTCTTTCTATATTTGATACAAACTATGACTTTCGCCCGTTTTGCGGACAAGGTTACAATACATAAGCAACGATAATTTTATGCTAAATAGATAAAGCACAACACAAACTTGATCGTCATAACTTGATATACCTACGTTAACACGAATATTCAAAATATATTTAAATAAATACGCACAGTTACGGAATAAATTGAAATAAAACTAAAAATATTTACTTTGTTTAGCCATCTAGACAACAAAGCAAGTTGCATTCATTTAGTACAACATGCTATGTACAACATTAAAGCAAAATGGCAATTGGGGAAAGCGATTTTATGAGTCCGCACAATGGGTTTCCATTTAACCTGTGTTTATTGACGTTTAATTAAGGCTATATAACTGCTCATGTGAAGAACGAATAATAAAATAAAAATCGGTAAAAAATTCACCAGGTCAAAATCTATAACATTAAACCAT